TCTATGCAGGAAACATTCAAGACTATAGAAAACAGCAATCTTATCGCCTGCATGTACTCACTCAAAATCCTAGAGTACAATCCTTATCCTTGGATAAAGAAAGCCTAATTGAATAAAACAATTTCTAGACTGAGGAGAACTGATAAACACTTCCTACATGCTATTCCGACACTATATGGAAATATCATTTCGCAAACGAATATTAAAATATTCATTGGCGCGATGCAACACACAGACCCGCGAAGCAAGTGAAGCAGATATTTAAATTAAAAAGAAAGTTAAAATAATTTGGCGAAAGACGCCGTTGAGAACTGTGTCGCGACTGAGTCTATGAAAAGGGGTAATATATTATGGCTAATGCCGGGTAATGGTTATAATGAGATATTCATTTTTTCGACTATTTTGACAAATTTATCCCATATAATCCCATATTAACCTTTTCTGCATCACCGAAGGCGAAGGACAGCTGAACCTATTTCATTAAGTGACTTTGAAGTACATGCATTCAGCTAATCGAAGCAAAGTAATGCTGGCGACTTAAATTTCTCAAATAAGGCGCGTCTTTTTATACTGGTAAGTAGTAAATTTACCGCTAAATCATTTTGAGTCAAGTAAAAAAGCGCTTTTGTAAACTCTTATCATGTATCTTCAAGCAGAGCTAGAAGAATGAGAGATGAAATATTCAATTTCGTGTTTGTAAAACGACTTGATAAGAAAATAATTAACTTATCGTACATATCAACAAATATTTACGACAACGTTTCGGCTATTTAACGCGGAGTTTTGCAACATTATCGACAAAGGCTTTGACCGCCTTCGCGGGTGTAATAAAGTATGGAAAAGAAGCCGTAATTTGTTGGCTTAATAAGGCTTCTCATCAACTTCTGTAATCTGATCTGGGAAACGTCTTATGCAAGAAACCGCTAGAACACGGCAAAACCTCAGAAGTATATTGCATTTATTTGTTTTTGTTATGCAAATTATGATCTATATATTCATAATGATGAACCTCAAAACTGCATTTTAAAAATTTGCGGATGAAAAATGTAACTGAAATAGTGTTGGAAAGCTCGACCGGTTGACATCTGTTTATATTCAATATAGCTATCAATAACGTTCAAACTATGTTTCTTCCTTGCTTGAATTTAAGAGGAGTTTCAAGTCATTCTACTGCATGCTATTTCCGTTTTCGATAAATAAAATAGTCCTTGATCTATGACAATTGAAATCGAGTGTATAAACGATAATGAATATAATAAAATTCATTTCCCCTGAATGCATTACTGTAAATGACAATACAATCAAATTATCGTTATCTAACCCTTCGTTATTTAAACAAAATAAGCGAGTCAGCAAATTTCAGATCACACGCAGAGTTATATGAAGCACTTCCATCTTATCATTTTTTCTGTCATGTAAAAAAAGCAGCGCACGAAATTTGATAAAATCAAGAAAAACAATCATATTAACCGCTTTGATCTTTAATTTTATAACCCAAACCCTCATTAAGACCCCCTTTTATTGTGGCCAGAGCGTATTTTGTGATTACTAATAGTACTGAGATAGGAAGTCGGCCAGTCGCTATATGCAAATTTTCTCTAGCGATAATATCGTTAATGACTATGCAAGTTGCTGCAGAAGGGGACAATCGCTTAAACAAATATTGATTTTCCTAACAGGCTGCGGCAATTCACAGCTGTAAGGATTAAAACAATACAAAAGTGTGGAATGATAACTTGTAGACAAACAAAATATTATTGCCAATTGGCCAGAATCGAGAACTCCCTCACTAGATGTCGTTCTAGCGGGTTTTTACAAAATCGTTAATGTACGTCGAAAAAACAACATTAATATCCCAGAGCCTTCGTGGAGACAAAGAACACCCGAAGCCTGGGACCTGGAAGATCATATTAATGCTACGTTGTGCCCTAATCCAACCACAAAGGAAGAGATATGTAACACAATCCCATTCAAAAAGTGAGTGTTTGGTATTTCCCACGCCGCATTTGTGCATGTACGTAAGAAAAAACATTTTGAGAGATACAAAATTATGTGCTAATTTGTCAAGGCAATAACCAGGGTCTTTCACGCCCTGCCCTGTAATGGTGTAATCCCCCCAGCAACATGTCTGCAAAAAACGTGGCATCACTCCAGGCCCCTTCGAGTTATTATTGATGTAGTTGTTTTAAAGTTCAATGTTTGTAACTAAAGCCAGTACCGAAAACAACCGGAGTGCGAGTGTGCAAGGAATAATGGATCATTGCTTAGCTATATAAGCTCTTAAATTCGCTTAATAAATTACCTGTGGAGAAAGTATCTTTTCTTTTGTAAATCTTCAATATTGTCCTAGGGATTATTGCAGAGCCGAATTCTAGGCAAATTTACTGAAGTTAGCAAAAAACATGAATTATTCCTCCCTTGCGTGCTCACGCAGAGTTGTTGAATTCGCTGTGTATAAAAGTCCAGTACAAAGTGAAAACAAGTTAGGAAACGTTTGATATATTTTATTATGTATATATTATAAAAATTCATAACAACAAATATTTGTAAATCTTTTTGCACGTTCTCGCGATTTTGAGTTTTAAATGCAAAATCATCATCACGACATCAGTCAAATCTACGACTACAAAGTTAAACGACGTTACACGACGTTAATTATCGCCTTCTCCCTGCTTTACCAAAACTTTTCTTACGAAACTACCAACAATAGTCCTAACCAATTGTTTTGTTGGATGAAGCAATGTCTTCATTCCTTTTCGTTTCTTTTCACTTCTCTCATGAAATGCATCACCGATACCGGCCAACTTTTTACTCAACTCTCTCAGTTCGTCCACAATGCTTTTCCTGCTGCTTCGTTTTCTAACCTTCGGTTTTGCTGCCTTTAGCTTGCCCACAGCAATGGCATGTTTTAGGACTAAACTGTCGCCAATTTTAGCCAATAGTTTGGCCAGTTTTTCTAATTCTTGCTTCTTGGAATTCATAAGACGTTCGTCTTTTATTCTGAGTGCTCTTCTTAAAACGTCAGTGGTATATGAAATAACAAAGCTCTTCCCAAATATTAGGGTTTGTCAATGTCCAGCTAGTTTTCGACCTGGTTTGTTGTTTTCTGACTTGTTAGTCGAGTTAGATTATTTTTTCTGCCTTCAGCACCTTTAAAATTCGCACTCGTCCTTTGACTCTATTTACTTACGACACAACTAGCCAAGCTAATTTTGCTGCAGTGTTTTATACGTTCAGTCACCGCGTTGGTTTTCTGTTGCCAAGCATTTCTATGATGTCAGCGCAAACACATATTAGCATGACTCCCAAAAGCACGTTGCAATATCTGCAGGTGACCGTACTTTGAGCATCCGAAGTTCTGTCATGTGTTGATTTTAACACTATATGGCATAACTATTCATCTTAGTTTAGTTTGCTTTTTCCCCGTGCATACGAAGTTAGAAAAGAGTATGTTTAAGAGTAATATTTAACTATCAGCTATTGGGTCATGGTATGCTGTATTATAGACACTTAATGTATGCTCCCGAGGGAAATAGTGAGTTTTGTTTTCCCAAGAGTCTGAATGTTTCCCGAGACGAAGTATTTCCCGAGGTAGTGTACATTAATATAAGTGCTTTGTTATATAAGAACAAAAACATACGTCCTGTTACACAACAATTTCATTTCAAAAAAACACTTTACTTTGTTATGAAAATATGCGGGCAATAATTTTTCACTTGTTTCTTTAAAGACATGTGACTACGAATGAACCAATCACATATAAAATACACAGCACCTATATAACAATATTATTGTTCAGTTGACTCACTGTTGACTCAAAGTCCCTGGAGTCGACCAAAGCATTGTATTCTTTTGTAGTTGAAATCTTTTTTATCAAACATGAAAAGTTATTCCTCAAAAATAAGTTGTAATGAATGTTAATAATTATTTATATATGAATAAGTATTTTACATAATTATATCATATTTCAACAACCGCACGTGCTAAAATAATTAACAGGTGCCTGATTCACTTGTACGTCTTTATGTAATCAATTTTTGGGATCCACCGTCGCAAATTAATATAATATGATGAGTTTTATGCCATTCCGCAAAAGGGCAATAAAATTGTAACAAAACTTCTCTTCGCTTAAATTATACCTTTTTACTTCCCGCAGAAGTTTCCATGACGTTCTAGTAATTCTCACCTTCTGACTTAATAATAAAAGGCTAATATACGTCACAAATTGAGCACATTGCAAAAATGTGCTTTTGCAACTGGTGGCAAAAATGTTAATTATTAATTTGTTAATAGACGCATTACTGTGGTTTCATTATATAGAAATAATTAGTTGCTGAGGTGCCTACGCTACAATAGTAGATATAAACTTAATTAATATTATTATTTGCATGCTTTCCTTGATAAGTCTTTCCCTGCTGAAATATTATTGTGATGTGAACAAAGTAGAAACAGCTTTTCTTGTCAATTCATTAGCTGCAAGTTTAACCTTGAGTTAAGGCACAAAAAGAGGATGACAAAAAAATCCTAATCATGCTATCTCAGGGAATTGTACAGATGTATTTTTCTATGTACAGATCTAAAATTATTGTTCAAGTGAAAGATTAAGATAACATTTCTGATGCAACATACATAAAGTAACAGGTTTCATAAGAATTTTTCAAAAAAAACGGAGAGCATCATTCTACTAACATATTTTATCCCATTGCTCTGATGAAAAAAGTTTTAAATCATTCACAAAAATAAATAAAAAATCAATTTTTTGCAGACATAACAAATTTTTACCAAAACGTTCCATAACTCAAGCTCTATTTGTTGCACTCCTACTACTCAATATGCAGGCTGTAATAGGTAGGTCATTCCCATGTGTTTCTCATGCATGCAATTGCAATCTATCCATGGGTTTCATATTTTATTTGGATTAATTCATTTGATTATTTTTTATATTTTATTTATTATTTTTTATTTTTTTATTTTTATTATGCTTTGCCAGATACACACAAACTTGCAGTACAATAAGCACAAATGATATACAATTACATGGCAGGGTATACGCTACAGCTTACACCGATTACAGCTGCCCTTGTGTGATTACCAGCACACATGCTATAAAATCTGTCAAAATAAATTTAATAAGATTTAATTTTTCAGATTTTTAAAATATGTTCATTTTGTTTTAGCCTTTGGACAGTCAGGTTCATTGTCAGGATGGGTGCTGCGAACAGCATCAACAGTGCACAATTGCTTCCATATTTCACTAATTTTTGGGAAAAGAGCAATATTTACACCGAATCCTATTGCACGGTACACTTGTGGAGCTAAACACACATCTGCTATAGTAATTTCATTACCAATACAAAACTTTCCAGCCACTTTTTCAAGGATTTTTTCAATAGCTACGAATCCTTTCTCTACTGTATTTTTACACTGTTTAGTGTACTCATCAATGTTGTCATCATAATGATAGAAGTAAAAGTTGCATGGTGGCTGTATCCCTACAAGGAAGGAGGAACTTGGTTGACATATTACTTTGACTCTCCTAAAGTCTTCCTTGATTGCTCCCTTATATCCAAAACAGATCCTGACCTTTGCTCAAACCCTAATTTTGTTTCATATGGTGGGAAACACCTAATAGCATATTACCAAAATTGGATTTGCTAAACCAGGTGCTATGGGCCAATCATTATGTAAACAAAAACATGGAAATAATATGCATCATAAGCAATGCTTACACTAGAAGCCTAGATCTGGCCTGGACTAGGTCTAGGACAAGTCTAGGCCTGGAACCTGACCTGGAATGCAACATTTTTAATGTGAATGAACTAGCTTTACCAAGTCCTGATCAATTTTCAACTTAATTGTATAATCTGTATAGGATTCATACTAGTATTACTACTTTTTGGCATGTTTAGGGTCTTGTTCAAAGTATTTTGTCAATTATGTTGGCTATGCAATATCATCAGCAAGAAAGACATGTGAACCTGCCACATATTACCTGGTCCACTTGAAATGCTTAGAAACTGTAATTCTTTATTATAGAAAAATTGAAATATAACCTGAATTAACAATCTCAGAAATCTCTCTAGCTTTCGCCCTCTTCTTCAGATCACTTGGTAGCAATTTTGGTTGTGGATATTTCTCATCAAGGTAATCAATAATTGCCAATGACTGGGTAATTATATCACCATCTATTTCAACTGCAGGTATTTGACCAAGCGGGTTCACCTCATAATATGCTGGCTCAACTGATTCATGAAATCTAAAATATTTCCGCTCAAATTGAAGTCCTTTCAGTGCCAAAGCGATACGTACTCTCCATGTTGGAGAACTATCATGGTTTGTATACAAAACTATGCTTTCTTTTTGGCCAGACATATTGAACACACAGTATAGAGAATAAACTGTAGGCCACTCAAGTAAGAATAAGATATTTTTGTCTAACGCATATCTAATTACGCATGCGTTACCATATTCACAGCCAGTAAATTGCATTCTCTAGCCAATCAGAACTTCGATCTGGCTAACGGCAGCTGGTAACTGCACTATGCACACACAGGACCTGGTTACATAGTGAACTGAAGTGGCGCTCTGTTTTCTTTAAGAGAAAATGCTTCGGAGTGAGCCAGTGAGGGGGATTGAAGAGAACGAGCGTAGCTGAATTTTAATTAGTGCACTAGGCAGTAAAAGTGGTCGAGGGAGTGATCGAGGGGGTTGCGGTTGTGCGCAGTTGCATGCGCAGACTGCTAGATCTTCAATTTAGGCTTTGCCCAAAGTGAACGTATAATGGAAAGCAGGCCGCTTTTGGTAACAGTATATATGCACTAGATGAGATATTTCATGGGAGTTACAGAATAGCCCGTTCATCTTTGGATCCTATACTAGTATTCCGCGATCAACCAAGCCGAAGGTTCTCCCATTCTTTGTCAGCTATAATTTGTACGTTTCAACCAAATCTCAGGTCAAAGTGGTACCTTTGTGGTTGTCATCATCATAGCTCGCTGTCCCGGTAATGTGTTTACTAGAATGCCAGGGATTTACCATATCAAGGATGAAAAAGTGGTAAGGAAATAGAACTGTGAGGAAGAAGGGCTATTTTCCAGTCGAATTCGAGGCAGGGCCTGTTCCATCAACAATGCCCGACTTTTAACCTGTAGCTCGGCAAAGAACAGGGAGGTTTATCAAATTCAGCAAGAGGCTACCTTGATGACTTTTTCACTGCGTTACGGAGACCCAACGTGAAAGACAACAAATCGTTGGGGCTTTGTTTGAGTAGCAGAAATGAACGTGCCGAGCATGCCGAACATGCAAGCCAAAGGGTTTGCAAAAGACTCAGTCCATTCCAGTCGAGTTTTTCAAAGTATGGTTTCATACCCATACAGCTAAAAGTGGCAGCTATTTTGGCGGGCAAAGAGACCAACAAAGACGCAAAAATTTCCCAAACGAAAGTCAAGCATGTCTTTTAGCAGCTCTGAGATATGCACATAGACTTGACAAGGCAGGCCTTTTGACAACGGGAAAAAATACAGTGCTAGCTTTGGATCTCCATTTTGACGAGACGGTTCAATCTGCAAACACACGTTTATCTCGTCTGACAGAAATGCTACTTCGTAACGCTTTTAGGTCCCGTTCACCTTGTCCCTTGAAAAGTGAGAAACTGTGGCTAACTCTAATTTTTTTGCTAAATTCATATCCCTGCATTATTTTTTATTAAATTCATGTCCATTATCAAAGTTTTTCAATTTAAGACAATGTACTTAACATCCATCGACAATCAACTAGCGACTGATTGAGGATTTCCAACAGGTTTTTTCACAATCTATTTACAAAATCAAACGACATCCGTTTTTAAACGTTATAATCTGTGGGGCAACAGACAATAGTGTAACCACCTTATTAGGAGCTTCAAGGATTCCGGTGTTACCATACGTAGTAGCTATAGTGAATTAAACCACGCTCTTTGATGGAGATTGACCTAATAAGTTAATTTATTACATTATAACGTGCATGCCAATAGAGGAAGGGAAGTGTCAATAAAAAAAGCATGAGGTTGTACATTTTGGAGAGGAGAGAGAGAATTTGAAATTTTGTGTTGTGAATTGAGATTTGTGAGTGTTGTAAATACTGATTTGGAGGCGAGTTTACGACACTCTTATACTATGTCCACAAACACTTCTCACGTCTCGAACTTATCTTACACTAATAAAACACTGTATGTTGTGTTGAAAGGTCTGTGTTATTGTAGCATGATATCCTGAACTCTCCAGAATTAACTTGGGCTGCATGACAGATTTCGTCCAGGAAGACTAGCATGGCAGCAACAGATATCGTGAACATAAGAAAATAAGATGCCATATATACCAGTACAAATATCATCAGTTTAAATAATCACAATTACCGTCCAGTTTTCCTGCGGTCATAGACAACATAAATAAAGACAAATTTTAATCTGACAAAACGGACTAAAAAGAATATTTATTTAATGAAGTTAAAATGTAATCTCAGTGCATCAGGTGCTGGTTCTAGAAGGAAGCCCCTTCACAGTAGGTGCAGGATGGTAAGGTAAGGATTTAACAAGCTCGCATCATTTTGTCGCTAAGGAATCTTCAGCATCACTTTATGGCCAATCGGATTGTCTCTTCGTTCTCATTGATATTCAACTATCTCGTCTTAATCTTGAGAATTAGCCAAATGATACGGATGAGGTGGTGTAGAGAACATCTTGAAGTCTTGAAGAACACATATTCCACGTTCAAAGTCACGTATCTGGCGAATGTGGTCGTTCTTTTATAAGCACCAGGATGAGGAAGCATTGCATTTTATTTTGGCTGTATCACGTCTTTCAAAATCAGTAAAGTGCTCATCAATAACTCGTCAAGTGAAATTATAGTCTAAAGACGAAGCTTTGCATGCTTAAGAACATGAAGTTCATCGCGACAAAGAACAGTGTTCCGGGAATTGAACCCAGTAACCGGTGTGTACAAGTCAGCTTCCATTAGACCATTATGTTTTCTATTCTGAGGGCGTTTACGTCAGACATTAAAGTCTACTGGGTTGCGAAAATATTCTAAACTTTTTATCGAGTATAACGAGACATACCAATTATGCGGATATAAATTGTCAACAGAAATGTTTAGCTTTCATGCAATTTTACTCGTAAAAGTTCAATTTTCGTATGGAAAACCAACCGTAAACACGGTTCCGAACACACGGACACTGTTTTTTTACGAGGGAAACCAGAGTGCCTGGAGAAAAACCCTCACCGAAAGCCGGAATTAAACACAAAGTACACAAGTTTGAGATTTTATTAAAACAAAGTCATGTATTACAACAAAGTGTGTGTGTGTTAAAGATATTGAAATCAAGAGAGAGGAGACGGACAATTTTGGTCCTATTTTTATTAATACTTCACTAAACATGTATTACAAAGCGTGTGTGTTTTCTTTACATAGTACATCATTAATATACGAAGACATTAAACTATTATATCTAAAACCGGTTACAAAGTAGGTGCGTTTAAGATCTTGAGATTTAAATTTATAGAACAGTGCAGGTTTAATGTTTATTTGGCATACTTTAGTATAAATTGTTCATGTCTTTTTACAGTGTGCTATTGAATGTGTTTGAGTAATGTTTAAGACTGATCAGTAAAATATGCACTAATGTAAGTAAGTGTTTCTAAGTTATCGTGTATTTTTTTTTTTCTATTATAGACTTAACCCACTAACTCTGGTAGAGAGCTGAATAAAGCTTATGAGATCGACGAGCTAATATAGTAATACATAAAAATGCCTGAGTTCAGAGCGCTTAGATTCAAGTTACGTTCGTCCAAAAACTAAAATTATTCTGCTGACAAATCATAGGCAGTGTTTCGTTTTAAGCTGTCGAACTGTGCACACATATTTCAAGGATCAAGTTAACTTGAAAGATATTTCATGAGCCCTTATAGAAACATCATGAAGGCATACACAATTGTCCTTGAAAACTTCATTGCACATTTCAGAGCTGAGGCATATAGCCAGAGCATGCTGCCCTTGTAGAAACAAGGTTTGGAAAAAAATACCAAAAGAAATTGACTTTATATTTTTTTTGAGGCTGAGGCATATAGCCAAAGCAACAAACTGTCGAAACCAAGTGCAGCATCAAGTGTAAATATATTTTTTTTGAAAAAATTTAGTCAACATTTTTTGAACCATGCAAGCTGCCCTTATAGAAACAGCACCAAGAGTACAATTTGTAGCACCAAGAGTACAGAGAAACTGGACTAATACTTTCAAAGCCAAGGCATATAGCCAAAGCAAGCTGCTCTTATAGAAACAGCCACAGGAGTACATTTTTTTTCTTTGAAAATCTGGTTTAAAAACTTTTAGAGCTAAGGCATATAGCCAAAGCAAGCTGCTCTTAAAGAAACAGCAATGAAAAGAACACTGCAACGTTATTATAGATATCCCAAGATACCTGCTAACACTTCGAACCACATAGCAAAGTCAAACAGTACAGACAAAAGGTGGCGCCTTACTTTTCATAAGCACTGCTCGACGAAGCTAAATGATTGGAAATCTCACAGAGACCTTGGAAAAATAATAAAGTTACAATGCCACTGCCAATGTTTGTCTCGTAATTGGTTTCTAACTATAGTAGAAATAAGGCATGTATATCGTTTCAAGATAACAGCATGCACCCCCCCCATTCCTTATTTTCTTCAAGTAAATTCAAATTAATTAATTGAGAGCATGTTTTGTATATGCCGACATTGTTATAAAGTGCATGGGTGTGTTAACTTTGATTGCATAAATTTATGCATTTCAGAATTGTAAGTCAGTATAAGATATGTCGTAAAATCAATGTTTCTGGCTTGAATATTAACAGTAGCCTTAAGTGAATGCAAGAGATAAAAGAGATATAAACTAGAAGCCATTATAGGCCATGGTTTGAATCAATGTATTTACTCGTGTGCGTGTCTATCTTATGTGCAGCTACAAGATCATGAGGTATAGTGCATGATGTTTTGTATCTGTTTATATTTTTATATAAATCATGTTTTTTCATAAATACATACACAATATTATAGGTTCAATTACAAAATATAGTAAGGCAAGATATAATCGTATATTTACAATGTTTGCTGAGAAATCAGAAACGTAATTACATTTAAATAATTTTACAACCCCAGACCGAATAGTGACCCTATATCATTTTACAATGTTAATTCCGAAAGCCGCAACTGACCGGATTTCAAGAGCCGAAGATGATTTCAATCAGGACAAGATAGAATTAAGAAATGGAAGAAAGAACCTATGGGATTATGTCTGCCATTTGTGGCTGTGATTTGTGTTAGTGTGCATGGCTTTTTAGCCATTTCTTATGTGAAATATGGGTATAACAATTGCGATATATGTTTTTAGTTTTAACAGGCAAATTATCAACCTAAACCTTAGCGCCGCCCTAAGCACAAGCGAGCATTCCTAAGCGCAAAACCGATTCAAACTTTTAACCGAATTTAAGAAACGTTTGCTCACATGCATCATGCATTAGCTATGTTCCTGGTGGCCAGAACTTAGTTAACTGAACGTAAAACCGCTAATTTAACTTAAGTTAATTCGTTAACTAAATTAGTTAACTTCGTTAAGTTAATCATGCACAGACTAACCCCTGCATGCACATTTTTTGACCACCAGGCTACTCTAACCTGTACGATGCTCGGGCATCGCTGATGCGTTGCTGTTTGGCGTCGATTTGGCGTAGTTATGGCGTCGAATTGGCCTACATTAGGCGTAGAGTGCCGTCGAGGTTGCCTACATTAGGCGTAGAGTGCCGTCGAGGTTGCCTACATTAGGCGTAGAGTGCCGTCGAGGTTGCCTACATTAGGCGTAGATTTGCCGTCGAGGTTGCCTACATTAGGCGTAGATTTGCCGTCGAGGTTGCCTACATTAGGCGTAGATTTGCCGTCGAGGTTGCCTACATTAGGCGTAGATTTGCCGTCGAGGTTGCCTACATTAGGCGTAGATTTGCCGTCGAGGTTGCCTACATTAGGCGTAGAGTGCCGTCGAGGTTGCCTACATTAGGCGTAGATTTGCCGTCGAAGTTGCCCACATTAGGCGTATAGATTTGCCGTCGAGGTTGCCTACATTAGGCGTATAGATTTGCCGTCGAGGTTGCCTACTTTAGACGTAGATTTGCCGTCGATTTGGCTTGTCGGTAATAGCTCAACAGAGCCCATCAACCTGAAATAAGATTAAAGAAATAAGCAAACTACATTTTTTATTGAGAAGAGACACGCGTAAAATGGGGATTGTAAACAACATCTATAAAACCCCTCTGGGATTTCAAGTATTTCCTTGCCACATCATTCATATCAAATTATCATGCGGCCGTTGTCGTTCTTGACCTGAATCATGCATAAACTCCCCATTGTTCGGTTTATCTAAAAATGTTTAATTGCTTAATACTCACGTTTTATTATGAACAGGTTTTGTCGTTGTTTTAAATGGCTTGACCCGCTAAATCGCTACCTGCAATAAAACCAAAAGAATGCTTGTTATGGACAGCGATTTTAAGGATTTACCTTGGATGAAGGGAGCTTAAATAAGTTTATCATCCTATTTTGAATAAAATAGACCAAAAATTACCTGTTCATTTCAGCAACAAGTGTTGAAGAGCAGCTTTGGACTTGCCGTCTCTTTAAATGCGAGTCATCTCGGGGAATTTCAGCTATGGGTTTTCTTTCCCAGCTCATTTCTATATTCGGTTTGGTTTTAGCTTTTAAACTCCACCTGGAAGAACAAAAGGCAATGTTAGTTTACTTGGTTTGGTCCTTATAACTCAATTCAAAGGTAATTGCTTGCGATTGGGGCAAAGGTTAGCGGCTCACATACGATTTAGCGTATATTACCTTTCTCATATCATCAACAAGTCCCTAAAAAGGCGTAGACGTGCTTTCTCTTCAAAGGCGAGTTATCTTGAGCCAAATGCTAGTCGTCTCGGGCAATTTCAGCTACGGTAACGGACTTTTTGCCCACTTCACTTCATTCAGTTTGGTTTTAAACTCTCAAACTCCACCTGGAAGAATAAAAGGCACCATTAGTTCACTGCTTAGGTCTTTAGAACTCAATTCAAACGTAATTTGCGTGTGGTCAGAAGGAAGGTTAGCGGCTAAACGGTAAGATTTGACGTATATTACCTTTCTCATATCATCAATATTCCCCAGAAAAAGCCTATAGACTTGCTTTCTCTTTAAAGGCGAGTTATCTTGAGCCAATTCAGCCACAATTCATCGGTCGTCAATCTCTTGTTCACAAATTTCATCGTTTAACTTCAATTTAATACGTCAAAATTCTGCATGAAAGGAATAAAAGCTACGTTAGTGCTATACAAGTTTGTATTTGAAGCTGAACACAACACGAGAGAGGCATTACAAGACGTGAACTAAAGACACGTGGAACCTTAGCCCAAAAGCTCACGATGAAACAAGCTGATAAAACACGCAAAGGGAAAGGCATATTACCTGGTATTACACCAACGACAGTCTGTCAGAGATAGTAAACTTCTATTAAACTTCTCTTCTGCTGAAGACGATAGCAATCTGATAGCAATCTCTGTTGAAATTTTCTTGGCATGGAGGAGACTCATTTTTATTCTTCGAAGACCAGCGCTGAAGTGATGTCTCAAACTGGAATCAAAAACACATATTATTCATTTCACCCGCTCCTCGTGTCTGCAAAATAAAGTCATCCTATTGGATGAACACTCCCGACCTGACAGCTCAACAACGCTTTTGATTGGATGTTTATAGTAATTTGAATAATATGATTAATTCTCTTCTCCTGAGCCTGGACATCAGAAATGAAAGGAAAGAATTAATCATATTATTCAAATTACTATGCTCGTCCAATCAGAAGCAATGTTGAGCTGTCAAGCCGGGAGTGTTCAGGCAATAGGATGACTTTATTTTGCAACACGAGGAGCGGGTGAAATAAATATCTAGCTTTGATTCAACGTTGACACATCACAACATGGATAACACGGAGTCGGAGTTCCGGAGCCGGAGTTTCGGAGCCGGAGTCCCGGAGTCAAAATTACGGAGTCTGACGTAATAATATTGAAAAACACGGAGTCAAAAATTATGGAAAACACGTAGTCTGCCAAAAACATGGAAAACACGGAGCATAAATGTTTGGAAAACACGGAGTCAACGTAAATTATACATATATTCATAAATGAAGGATCGCTCATAAGTCTATACTAATTGTTTATACCACAGTAATTGTATAAAAGAAAGAATACACAATAACAAAAGATTATAGCTATAATGCCTCTTGCTCAAAGTCATAGAATTATTGTTGTAGCTAACTACATTACGTGTCCTTATATCAACATATGTCCTTAAATCACACCAACACTGCCACATCCAATTTCCTCTTTGTCTACAATATCCTCCCATTTAAATTGATGAATATTATTTATGTTTAAGGATACGTTTTTCGGTAGTTTATTTACCATTTGCGGAATAGCAAAAACGTTACGCGAATTTGACGCCATGTTGTTTAAAACACGCTATCAAATTTGCATAATTCACGTTGAGTCATTGACCACTGAGCTTGGCAGACTTCCAAACATTTATACTCCGTGTTTTCCATATTTTTAACAGACTCCATGTTTTCCATAATTTGTGCATTACTATGCATTACCATATTCACAGCCAGTAAATTGCATTTTCTAGTCAATCAGAACTTCGAACGGCAGCTGGTAACTGCACTATGCACACACAGGGCCTGGTTACATAGTGAACTGAATCCAGTGAAGTGGCTCTACTGTTTTCTTTAAGAGAAAATGCTTCGGAGTGAGCCAGTGAGGGGGATTGAAGCGAAGGAGCGTAGCTGAATTTTAATTTGTGCACTATAGGCAGTAAAAGTGGTCGGGGGAGTGGTCGAGGGGATTGCGGTTGTGCGCAGTTGCATGCGCAGACTGCTAGATCTTCAATGGCGGCTTTGCCCAAAGTGAACGTATAATTGAAAGCAGGCCGCTTTTGGTAACATTAGTATATATGCACTAGATGAGATGTTTCATGGCAGAGTTACAGAATAGCCCGTTCATCTTTGGATCCTATACTAGTATTCTGTGATCAACCAAGCATTCTCCCATTCTTTGTCAGCTATAATTTGGTAATGGTAATGGTAATGGTAATGGTAATGGTAATGGTAATGGTTTATTTACACATTTTAAATAGCGATGACGCTAAATTACAATATGTTTACAATACAAATAGCTATAAAAGATAAAAGGTTTTACAAATTATTTACAGCAATTATATATAAAAAACCTATATACATAAATATCAGTACATGAGAAATATTATAAAATATGCTAACTAACTAATTTAGCGTTATATAAACTTATGGAATAGGCCAAAGGACTTTGTTTAAAACGTTCGGTTCTACAAAAGAAGTTGTATAATGTTTGGCTATTAGTTCTTGTTTCCTTTTGACTAACCTGTTCTACTTTCATTGGTAATAAGCTATGTAGTTTATGATTTGGATCCAGCATTTCCTTAATTAAGGATATGCATGATTCGTCCCTACGTCTTTGCAGAGTTTGCAAGTTCGTCTCGGCTATTACTTGCTCATAATCCTGATTTGGGTGTATTATCCTGAGTGCTCTTTTTTGAATACGTTCAATACTCTTCCTTTGTTCTTGTGTTAAACCTCCGTTCCAAATCTCTGCACCATATTCTAGCACAGGGCGGATTACAGAGCAGTAAAAGGATAACAAATCACCCGTAGGGGCTCCATAATTCTTTAAAACCTTTAGTAAATACAAACGCTTAGCCGCTTTTTTAATGATATGTTCAGTATTTACTTTCCATTTAAGATCGTCACTTAACCATATCCCCAATAGCTTGTATGATTTTGTACGGGAGACGTTATGGCTACCAATAAGGATTGGGGCTATCGAGGTTACGTTTTTCCTGAAGTCAATTATCATCTCCATGCACTTTTTATCATTCAATTCCATTCCTTCGTCCGTTGCAAATTGTACCACTTTATCTACATTTTCCTGGGTATTACCGATTGGTTGATCATCTAAATGATCAATCACATTGATTACTTCCGATATTGTGGTGTCGTCCATAAACATCGCTGCATCCTGCTCTTCTACGGCATTCCGTGTTTGATCCTGATCATTAGATGCAATAGACGCTGGTAGTTGGTTTATTTTAATTATAAAAGCAATTGGACCCAACTTGCTTCCCTGTGGGACACCACCCTTGACTCTTTTACGGTCGGACTGCTCTCCTTGGAAGGACGTTACTTGTGATCTATTAGTTAGGTATGATGCAAACCAGCCAACCATGGCCGGACGAACGCCAATTTTAATGAAATTATCTAACAACAAGTTATGATCAATCAGATCATATGCCTTCCGGAAGTCAAGAAACATGATACGAACAATCTTTCCTGGGCTATCCATTCCTTTATACCATTTGTGTAACAAGTAAATCAACGCATGTATTGTCGACGTTCCAGGCAAACCTCCAAATTGACTACCACTGATCTTATCATGGACATCCTCGTAAATCCATTCAGTAGCGTAGGATTCTTGTACCTTAGATAAAATACTCGTCAATGAGATAGGTCTTAAGAGATCCACCGCGACACAAGGTTTACTTTTTGGGATTCCACACACCTTTGAGATTTTCCAAATGTCTGGGAATATTCTGGAGGTAAATGACTCATTAAAAATGTAGCTTAACGGTTCAGCGAAATATTTCGCAAAAAGTTTTATTATCTTCACATTTGGGTCAAACAGACCACTTGCTTTATTCGGGTTAAGTTTACTTAACTTTTTTGCTACACTGTCTACAGTTACGTTCGGTAATTGCTCATCCGTTCCAAAATTAAGCCAATTATCATCTACTTCAGGGTAATTACTAGTAAGACTGGTAAAGTACTCGTTCATTAGATTAGCTGTATCTTTTGGATTTAGTGGGGTATCAGATTCTGGGTTACTTAGGACAAAATCCTGTTTATTCTTCCCAATAATGTTTTTAATATTATTCCACCACTGCTTCGAATTAGAACATCGAGCAGGTTTGATTTTCTCACTGTAATACTTTTGTTTCGCTTTCCGAATTTCTCTAACAATTTTATTACGAAGCGATTTATACTCGTCCATTCTCCCGCATCCGTACATTTTATTTCTATTTGATATCATTTGTTTAATCCTCCCAGTCATAAAGGGCTTATCATCTTTATGGACCTTCACAGTTTTGGTTGGAAAACAGTTATCAATCATTGCATTAGTGATCGATAAAAAAGCGTTTACCTTGGTGTCAATACATGGAGCATCATAAACCGCTGACCACGTTTCTTGTCCGATACATTCTTCAAACGTAAACAACCTTGCTTCTTTGATGGGTCTCACTGTGATCTTTTTCACCTCATTTTTGCTTTGGGTTTGTTCTTTAGATTTCCATATAATAGCACAATGATCTGAAAAGCCAATCGGTGCCAATGATATTGGTCTTTCATAGAACAAATGGGCATTGGTCAGGATCAAGTCCAGAATTGCATTCCCTCTGGTTGGCGTTTTAACTACTTGTTATAACTTACAATGGTTTTTAAGGACACGTTCCTGAAACCCATTACTTTCTGGATTGAAGTCCCCAGTAACAGTTATTGATGTATCTGGACTCTCACTAATTAGACTGTCATAACACTGGCAAATATATTCATAAAACCTTTCAATTGTTTCGGTATTCATTGATGGTGGTAGATAAACACACGCAAGTGCTAATTTAGAAATTTTTCTTGGAAGCCATTTTGGTCTGAGGGTAATCCAAAGGCATTCATAGTCAAGATTATGGAAATCCAGTCGAATTTTGAAGGGAAGTGATTCTCTTATATATATAGCTACGCC